TAAAAAAAATAAAAGCAACTGACAAACTCCCCCATCCCCCCCCATTTCCTTCTTCTTGCTAAACACATGCTGGGTGGTAAAAGGCATAATCATGATTTATATACTTTGTGTCCACAATAAAAACACACTAATACCCAACCAAATTTCTCCTTCATACCTACCTGATAAAGGTTTTTTAAAAAAATATATATATTTTATTGAATTTTCACAGAGAGGAAGGGAGAGGGATAGAGAGTTAGAAACATCGATCGGCTGCCTCCTGCACATGTCCTACTGGGGATGTGCCCGCAACCAAGGTACATGCCCTTGACCGGAATCGAACCTGGGACCTTTCAGTTCGCAGGCTGACGCTCTATCCTCTGAGCCAAACCGGTGCTGGCCCTGAAAAAGGTTTTTATTTTTCTCTAGACAGCACCTAATGAAAGCTTCTGACTACACATAAGTTGCCAAGAGCCTGACTTTCCTGTCCAGGTCTTTACAGTTAGGAATTCACGTTTATCTTTCTGGCAGGAATATTGTGAAAGCAGCGCTTCCTGACAGTCCCGCGGAAGCCCTGAACATTCAGTGTGGCAAGGCCCTCAGAACGGAGCGAAGAAAACCACCTCCGTTGCATTACTTAGAAGCAGCGCTACTCTCTGCAGCAAGGAGAGAAACAAATTTGCTTGTCACCCAAGGGACAAACGTGAATGGTGCTGACCAGGATGAGCCCATTTTACAGACTCAGAGCAACATATGGCAGCAAGGAGATGGCCACCCTGTCAGCAATTTAAGTGGCCCGGCCACAGCTAGTTTTCTATCACTTTTGCTTGAAGGTAGTATTGCCTAAAGATGATTTTATATTTAAAATTTTTGACCATGAGCATGCATTATGTTTGCAATTTTAAAACAAATGAAAGAAAGTAGTTCTAGTTCTAACAAAGTCCCTCATCAGCCAGCACTCAGCTATTCCTACTTTCAGGAGAAAGATACATAAATGACAACAGAAAAGCTGCCCCAGGAATTCCCACCTATAACCAGCACCTCAGAAGTGCCTGGGTACATGCACAGTTAACTCAACCTTTACCATTTTACACAGCTATAATCTGGGACAATTTCGCTTCCAGAGATGACACTAGAACACCCTTTCTTGATCGTAGCTCCAAGAATCCTTTCACTTCCTGGGCTTACTGAGACATCCTTCGCACAGATTTTCCACAGAGGATCACAGCCAACCCTTTTGCAGTGACAGATGTCCCCAAGTTCTTTAATAATGTTTCCTTCAGGAGGTGCGGCCTGTTTCCTCTCCCTTAGTGGGACTCGACTTAATGGCTTTGCTTCTACAAATAGAATATGGAGGAAGTGATGTGTGACTTCTCTGAGACGAGGTCATAAGGGCACTGTGGTCTCCTCTCTTCTCTTGGGAAGCCAGCTGTCAGGTCATGAGAACACCCAAGCTGCCCTATGGAGAGGCCCACGTGCAAGGGCTCCTGCCAACAGCCACGTGAGTTAGCTGGGAAGTGCAGCCTCTTGCCCCAGCTGAGCCTTCAGATAACTGCAGCCCTGCCACTATGTTGACTGAAAACTCATGAGAGCCCTTGTGCCAAAACCTCCCAGTTAAGTCAGTCCTGAATTCCCGTCCCACCAAAACTGTGAGATAAATATTTGTTGTTTTGAATCACTAAGTTTAGAAGGGATTTGTTATACAGCAATAGATAATATACCTTGTTTAAGTATAAAGTGGAGAAACAGATGAAGACTATCTTATTAACATATACTGTGCAGCATAAGCATCAAGGATTATTACTAACACTAGAGGCCTGGTGCACGGATTCGGCCTGGCCTGCGCCCTCTCCCAATCCAGGAGCCCTCAGGGGATGTCGGACTGCCGGTTTCGGCCCAATCACTGCAGGCCAGGCTGAGGGACCCCACCGGTGCACAAATCCGTGTACCGGGCCTCTAATATGCATATAAGATCTTTGGTTAATCTCTTCCCCCCTCCCCCCTACCCTCTGAGATTCATCAATCTGTTCCATGTTTTCATACCTATGTGTTGAGCATCTGGCCTCTGGTGGTCAGTGCACATCATAGCTACTGGTTGAATGGTCGCTTAGGCTTTTATATATAGAGATTATATATATAGATAGATGGCTATGCCTATAAGAATAAATGCTGTGTTCTAGACACACAAAAATCCCTCCAGCAGTTAAGCACGCTCTCAAATACTGGTTTTAGAGCATCAGTCTAAAAAAATACAACTGCGTGGCTTACATCTTGTATCAACAACAGAACAGAACAGAACACTAACCTTTCGCAAGTGGGGCAATGGTAATCTCACTGTCTGCCAGATTCACAAACACGTCATACAGGTCTGATCTATTGCTCACCTCCGAGTCTGCAAATCCGGCAACGTAACCTGTGTTAGAATGGAGTACGAAGAAATCACACTGTGAACACATCAAGAGAATTGAGTCTAAAAAGCTCACCAGCTGCTTCTTTTCGCTGCTTTACTTATTCAGGGCACATTAGCTGTGCCCTGTGGCATTTATTAAGACTACGTTATTGTCAGTTGCCTGAAAAAACTCACATAACTCAAAATGTTCCAAAGCCAGACTTCAGTGTCAACAAAGGAGAATGCTTTTGGGGCAAAAATGACAGACGAGGCAGAAAGTAGCAAGGATGCTTTTGATCAGCGTTCCCCCTGTAGGTCCTTGTCTTCAAGATATCATAGCCAAACACCCAGGTTTCTCAGGGGATAGTGGGTGGAAACAGTTTTATCATCATCTTTCACCAATTTCAGAACTGATACAGTAAGTGCTAAAGGAATCAGGGCAACTCTAGAATTAGCAGACCTTTGGAATTGGTGTGAAGATAATTCCCAGACTTTTCATATTTCTTTAAAAATATGGTTTTATTGATTTTCGAAAGAGAGGAAGGGAGAGGACAAGAGATAGAAACATTGATGAGAGCGCCAAGCCGGTTTGGCTCAGTAGATAGAGCGTCGGCCTGAGGACTGAAGGGTCCTGGGTTCGATTCCGGTCAAGGGCATGTACCTTGGTTGCGGGCACATCCCCAGTAGGAGGTGTGCAGGAGGCAGCTGGTCGATGTTTCTCTCTCATTGATGTTTCTAACTCTCTATCCCTCTCCCGTCCTCTCTGTAAAAAATCAATAAAATATATTTTTAAAAAAAAGAAAGAAACATTGATGAGAGAGCAACATCAATTGGCTGCTTCCTGCATGCCCGCTACTGGGTATCAAGCCATCAACCTGGGCACGTGCCCTGACTGGGAATGGAACCAGTGACCTCTTGGTGCCTGGGACGATACTCAACCAACTGAGTGAGCCACACCAGCCGGGCATACAAATATAATAACATCATTTAAAAATAATTTTATTATTTTCTTTAAGGAAAAAATATGACAAGGCTCATATTATACTCTAAATCAAATCACTGATAAGGAAACTTTAAGACTTGACAAATTAAAAACAAGTTATATTTTGATGATGGCTGCATAACAATGTGAATGTACTTAATGCCACTGCACTACACACTTAAAACTGATTAAATTGAGCCCTGGTCAGTGTGGCTCAGTTCGTTGAGCATCATCCTGTACAATGAAAGGTTTTGGGATTCCCAGTCAAGGTGCGTGTGGAAGGCAGGAGGTCGATGTCCTCTCCTATGATGTTTCTCTCTCATACCCCTGCCCATTCCCTCTCTCTGGAATCAATAAACATATCCTCAAGTAAGGATTTTTAAAAAGTAAAAAAAAAAAAAAAAGAAAAAAGATTAAGATGAGAAATTTTGTGTTACATGTATTTTACCCAATTTTTTTCTAAATTAAAGGGGGGAAATTGGTTCCATTTGCCAAAGAAATAGTAACTGATCAGTACTCTTCTTAGGAATGCACACACACACAAAAACCCAAAAAACCAAAGAACCAAGAAATCCTAGTTAAAGCCAAGCCCTGCTCTGGGTCCTGTGGCCTACCTGTGCACAGCTGCAGGGCTTCCAGCTCATCAGCATCCAGGTGCACGTACGAGTGAAGTATGGTCCAGTCCTGTCGATGCCACACCAGGGCAGGCAGGGTTCTGGGGAATCAAAGTGAGAATGTAAATGGCTGCTGACCTGCACCTGAGAGACTCAGCTTGCCCTCTTCCGTCTTCTTTGGGGGAGGAACTGGGTATTAGAGACAGAGGGGAGAACCAGGCCTAAATGGGCCAACAGCTCTAGGCTTTAAACAAAAGTAATGCAATGTTTTAAACTCTGCTTTTTAGCTACAAAAAGCTCAAGGTGGAGTTTCAAAAGAAACTTGGCAAAGAGAAACGCTTCAAAGGTTTTCCTCCAAACATCCTATGCTGTAGACTGCCATGGAGAGGGAGTCTCAGATCTGAGGGTACAATCTAAAGAGGGCTCTGACAGAAAAAAAATTAAAAAATTTTTTAAAATCTTATTTTTATTAAATACTAGAGGCCTGGTGCACGGATTCATGCACTGGTGGGGTCCCTCAGCCCGGTCTGTAGGGATCGGGCTGAAACCAGCTCTCTAACATCCCCCGAGGGGTCCTGGATTGTGAGAGGATGCAGGCCAGGCCAAGGGACCCCACCGGTGCACAAATTTGTGCACCATGGCTCTGACATCCCCCGATGGGTCTGGGGTGCGAATGAAGCAGATTCAGGGTAGACAGTGCCCCAGCAGCAACCTAAACTACAGCCAATTCAGCAAGGAATCAGGCTCCCTCCTCTACTGGTTGGAGCATCTGCCCCTGGTGGTCACTGCACGTCATAGCTATCAGGAGAACAGTTGGACGGTCACTTAGGCTTTTATATAGATAGATGTTTTTATTGATTTAAGAGAGAGGGAAGAAGAGAGGAGGGAGGGAGGGAGAGAAAAACATCAATGTGAGAGAGAAACATTAATCAGCTGCCTCCTGCACACCCCCTACTGGGGATCTAGCTCACAACCTGGGAATGTGCCCTTGACTGGGCGTTGAACCAGTGACTTTTTGGTACATGGGATATCGCTCAACTAACTGAGCCACCTGGGCCAGGGTGCAAAAAATTTTTTTGAAGTCTCTCATTTCATACTTAATTCCAGTCAAACATGAATCCGTGTACCAGGCCACTAGTTTATTATAAAAATAAGAGAAGAGTGTGGTAAAACTGAACAGAAAAACAACTTACTAAACAGGGGTTAGGAAACTATGACCCACAGGTAGTTCCTGTCTTTACACATAAAGTTTTATTGAAACAGCCATGCTCATTCACTTACGTAGGTACCCATGACAGTTGAGTAGTTGGGGCAGAGACCATAAGGTCTACAAGCCTAAAATATTTCCCCTCTGGCAAAGAAAATTTTGAAAACTCCCTGCTCTAAAATATTCATATTTCTAAAATTAAAGAAGAATCTGTCCAAATTCAGTGACCTTGAATTGCTAAATAAATCTAAACTGGATCATTAGACCAAAATGGTACTTCAACCCCCAGCCAACATATTCTATTTTTACCAAATGTGCAACAGAACAGAGCATACAGTAACACAAAGTGTCCTAAACTACCCACCAACAACATTACACTGTTTAATGATTAGAGGGAATACCTGGTAAACTCCTGGACAACTTCTATTTTGGGGTGATAGACGACAATTCTTTTCTTTAGCATCAGTGCTGTGTGTAAGATAACTGTTTCCATTCCAAACTGAGATACAATGTCTTAAAACAAAAGAAGTTATAGCATTACTACATTAAATATTACATAAGAAAATAAAGTTTTGATTGGAAAGAACTCTTATCACATGAATTCAAAATTATTTTTAACACAGAGAATAAATTTCGATAAATGCTGTAAGCACAGAAGTATCTTATCTGGTGGATGGGCATTTCAATCCATACATCTGCTCCAGGGTGGGCGTCACAGCTGCCTACAACTGTCCCCCCAGGGACTCTATGCTGGACACACACATAAAGCCACTCACAAGAAAGTGGAGTAATGGTATAAAGGGAACCAGCACTGTCATAAAAACTCCTTTTTTTGTTTTTGTCAATCCTCACCTAAGGACATTTTATTCCATTGCTTTACAGAGAGAGAGTGGAAGGGAGTAAGAGGAAAGAGAAACAGCAATGTGTGAGAGACACATCAATTTGTTGCATCCCACACATGCTCCCTGACTGGGTGGGGGTGGGAAGCAAACCCACAACCCAGGTATGTGCCCTTGACATGCAACTGAACTCTCGACCCTTTGGTTCCAGGGCTGACGCTCTAACCACTGAACCACCAGTCAGGGCAAAACTCAAGTTTTAAAAAATATTCGCTGACCGGGTGACACCTGGCACCTCCACAGGGATACTTAGAAACCATACAGAACAGTGGCATTAGCAGTGAAGACAGGCAGGCGCTGTGGGGGGACGAGAGGAAAGGCTGGCATTGCCCCTGAGTTCTCCTCTCCTCCCTTTCTTAAGAGCCCCGAAGTCTGTGGCTTTAGTCCTGGACTGTCCCTGCCATTTTGGATGTTCCAGGTAGGAGAAAAAGGCAGGGAGCTGGGCGAGAAGCCTGGGTCCAGGCTTGAGCGTCCAGATGGAAGAGGTAACTGCTCTGATTTAAGGAGAGAGCACTATGGAAGTCAGTGGAGCCCTGGAATGCAGCTTACTGGTGAAAGAACATTCTATTTTTAGTCAGAATCTGTGCTCGCTTCGGCAGCACATATACTAAAATTGGAACGATACAGAGAAGATTAGCATGGCCCTTGCACAAGGACATGCAAATTCATGAAGCGTTCCATATTTTATTTTATTTTTAAAATATATTTTATTGATTTTTTACAGAGAGGAAGGGAGAGGGATAGAGAGTCAGAAACATCGATGAGAGAGAAACATCGATCAGTTGCCTCCTGCACACCTCCTACTGGGGATGTGCCCGCAATCAAGGTACATGCCCTTGACCGGAATCGAACCTGGGACCTTTCAGTCCGCAGGCCGATGCTCTATCCACTGAGCCAAACCGGTTAGGGCAGAAGTGTTCCATATTTTAAAAAAAAGTCAGAATCTTGCCCTGGCCAGTGTGGTTCTCGGTTGAGTGTCGTCCCATGTATGGAAGGGTCACAAGCTTGATCCCCAGTAGGGGGCATGCAGGAGGCAGCCGACTGATGTTTTGCTCTCACATAGATGTTTCTCTCTCTCTTCCTTCCTCTCTCTCTAAAAATAAAAAATATATATATACATTAAAAAACAAATTCAAGCAAAACAATAAAAGTCAGAATCTTTTGGAAAGGAACACCACAAAAGTCTGCTTTCCTGTGACAGAATTCTAATCAAATTAGGAAATGGAGAAGCTGAAGTCCTGTCCTGTAGAGAACATACATGTTATGTAGACAGTCTATGTGGAAAGATGGAAAAACAGAGCTACTGAGCGACTGTCCTTGGCTTGGGGTTTTGTTGTTGTCGGGATGAATTAATCTGGGATGGGTTTCTGTTTTCTTTTTGTTTTCTTTTTACCTTTGATGGAGCCTGCGAGGTATGCCTTTCGGACATCAAAGTCCTTGCTAAGGAAAGAGCCGTTTTCTTCACTCTGGCATATCCCCTTGGTGAGAACTGCAATATAACTCTCCATCATTTTAACTGGGCTCCCGTGTTTCAGGTACATTCTGGAAGAAAGGACAAAGAGCCATCATGCTTTTATTTCACACGAACCACATGGAGCAATGCACCAAGACTAGGCGTGGGCACTTTCTAAAGAGTTGAAGCCTACTTGCTTATACACGCTGAATGCCCAATCTTTTCCTGGCAAGTGATAATTCTAAAATTTAATTTGAAGATGTGTTTATTAAAAAGCACCACCTGAGAGACCTTGGACAGTTCTCTGCAGCTGCTCCCTCGATGTGGGGAAGCCTGCTACAGTCCACGAGGGCAGGAGAATGAACCATGGCCGCCTGGGGCCTCATTCTTCTCAGGAACATTGTACACTTATCTCTTTCTCTGTCTTACATTCATTCACAGCTGGTGTTCTTAGCCATAACAACTGTTTTATTGCTTGAATTTCCTTTGACAAGAAAGGAGGTTTATGCAGTGATCACAGAGAAAGCAGTAATTAGTTGTGAAACCTGTATTTAATATCAGAGTCCCAGAGATAACTATATTTAGATCATTAAGAAACAGAACTCCTTTAAGTTTTTGGTGATAAATGCACACTAGATACATTCATCAAGTTAAATCTTCCAGAAAATGCTGACAGGAAACTGGCTCCATTTATAGCTTGCATGTGAAATCAATCCCTCCCCCGGAAATCTCTTCCGATGAGTAACAAAATCTAAATTTTGCTTAGAAAGCAGGGCTGGGTCTACTTGGCCTTTTAGCAGCTGGGATAGAAAATTGGGAGGAAAATAAAACCAATGTTTAAGTTAGATCACTTGGAAATGATACTTATTGTAGATTACGTTTCATTAAGATAATGAAAAAGAGTTTTAACTGTTTACCAAATTTTGTCAGTCACCAGTGTTTTTCTATTTTTTTCAATGTACAAAATGAGAAAAAAAGGTACAGAACAATGACGATGGCAAGCTATCATATATGTAAAATATAGTCAAGCCATGAACTCATCCACATGCTTACATACGGAGACAGTGTCTCCAGTTGGATATAAACAAAACAGGCCAGGAGCTGCCTCGGGGGTGGGGGTCGGGAGGTAGCACTGGAGGTTTCTCTCTCTCTTCCTTCCTCTCTCTCTAAAAATAAAAAATATATATATACATTAAAAAACAAATTCAAGCAAAACAATAAAAGTCAGAATCTTTTGGAAAGGAACACCACAAAAGTCTGCTTTCCTGTGACAGAATTCTAATCAAATTAGGAAATGGAGAAGCTGAAGTCCTGTCCTGTAGAGAACATACATGTTATGTAGACAGTCTATGTGGAAAGATGGAAAAACAGAGCTACTGAGCGACTGTCCTTGGCTTGGGGTTTTGTTGTTGTCGGGATGAATTAATCTGGGATGGGTTTCTGTTTTCTTTTTGTTTTCTTTTTACCTTTGATGGAGCCTGCGAGGTATGCCTTTCGGACATCAAAGTCCTTGCTAAGGAAAGAGCCGTTTTCTTCACTCTGGCATATCCCCTTGGTGAGAACTGCAATATAACTCTCCATCATTTTAACTGGGCTCCCGTGTTTCAGGTACATTCTGGAAGAAAGGACAAAGAGCCATCATGCTTTTATTTCACACGAACCACATGGAGCAATGCACCAAGACTAGGCGTGGGCACTTTCTAAAGAGTTGAAGCCTACTTGCTTATACACGCTGAATGCCCAATCTTTTCCTGGCAAGTGATAATTCTAAAATTTAATTTGAAGATGTGTTTATTAAAAAGCACCACCTGAGAGACCTTGGACAGTTCTCTGCAGCTGCTCCCTCTATGTGGGGAAGCCTGCTACAGTCCACGAGGGCAGGAGAATGAACCATGGCCGCCTGGGGCCTCATTCTTCTCAGGAACATTGTACACTTATCTCTTTCTCTGTCTTACATTCATTCACAGCTGGTGTTCTTAGCCATAACAACTGTTTTATTGCTTGAATTTCCTTTGACAAGAAAGGAGGTTTATGCAGTGATCACAGAGAAAGCAGTAATTAGTTGTGAAACCTGTATTTAATATCAGAGTCCCAGAGATAACTATATTTAGATCATTAAGAAACAGAACTCCTTTAAGTTTTTGGTGATAAATGCACACTAGATACATTCATCAAGTTAAATCTTCCAGAAAATGCTGACAGGAAACTGGCTCCGTTTATAGCTTGCATGTGAAATCAATCCCTCCCCCGGAAATCTCTTCCGATGAGTAACAAAATCTAAATTTTGCTTAGAAAGCAGGGCTGGGTCTACTTGGCCTTTTAGCAGCTGGGATAGAAAATTGGGAGGAAAATAAAACCAATGTTTAAGTTAGATCACTTGGAAATGATACTTATTGTAGATTACGTTTCATTAAGATAATGAAAAAGAGTTTTAACTGTTTACCAAATTTTGTCAGTCACCAGTGTTTTTCTATTTTTTTCAATGTACAAAATGAGAAAAAAAGGTACAGAACAATGACGATGGCAAGCTATCATATATGTAAAATATAGTCAAGCCATGAACTCATCCACATGCTTACATACGGAGACAGTGTCTCCAGTTGGATATAAACAAAACAGGCCAGGAGCTGCCTCGGGGGTGGGGGTCGGGAGGTAGCACTGGAGGCTGGGAAGCGGGAAGGGACTTAGTTTTCACCGTATACCCTCCTGCACAGTTGATTTTTTAACTCTGTGCTTATATCACCACCCAAAATACACAAAAACCAAAACCACACCATTACAATTATAAAATAGAAACAAGAGACAGTCAGGAAAGGAGAAACATAAGGTAGGATAAGATGACTTCCCACATGACAACCCTGGGCCATGAGACTTAACAGAGGGAGGAATCCCCCAAAACCATTTCATAGGAAAAACACAAAGCACAGCCCAGGGGACCATGTTCCGATGGAGCCACAAGCTGTCATACTTGGCTTAGACAACGGCCTGTAAGTAGGCCTGGTTCTCTACCAGAGCCATTAGCTGGAGGGACCAGAAGAGGAAGAGGTTCATGCCAACTGACCTGGATCCCATAGAGGGAATGAACCCCGAACCCCCATTTGGGCCTCTACTGCCACCTCAGCAGCATGCTGTGGAAGGAATGCCTGCCTGCTTCTCTCACCAGGCACGGGAGCATGTCCATGGTAACCTCACCATTATAAAAACATGCCTAATCACTCTGGTACACATCTAAACTAATATACTGCATATCAACAATAACTGAAAAATTAAAAAATGTATTTTAAAAGTGTTTGTCTCTGTGCATGTGAATGCAGACACATGCATTCATGGGGAGAGAGTGTGTGTGCATGCATGCACCTGAGTACACTGGTGTGTACACATGTAAGGTAAGCAGGGGAGTTCACTAAGAGGCAGGAGCAGAGGAGGGGGCTGGCAATAGCTCTGAGTCCTCATTTCCCTGCACAGGAGCAGAAGAGAACCCAGAACGCGACAATGCCATGGCACCACCGAAGCTGAGAAACCCTCTGGGCTTCCTGGAATTCAGTGAAGTAACCTAACCCTGACTCAATCAAATGAAATGGGAGTCCAATGTTTGTTCAAAAACACCTTTACAATGTTTTTAGTTCACAGCTGCTGGACAGTGTCTCTCCTAACAATAATAATCTCTTTTTGTACCATATTAGCAGACAACTGTTGATATTCCACAGTGAGCCATACACCTGGAATTTATCTTAGGACAAGAAGTCTTTCTCAGCATAGCTGGCTGCAAAAACAGTAAAACTTCATTTTGTCAAAATTCAACCTAACTGAAACCCTTAGGTTATGAGAAGGTATTCTTACGCTATGTTGTGTGTGTGCACATAAAAATGGCAAAAAGGAAACCATTTATCAGGCCTATAGTGGGAGAAACAAAAGTCCCCTCATTCACACCAAACACAAACTATTCCCTGGGTGTGAGCCTGAGGGCTGAGTAATACAGAACATCGAGACTTCTAAGTCTATCTAGTGTCAACAATATTTTAAAAAAACTAAGCTAAAACGCTGTAAAAGTTTTCATTACAGAAAAAAGCCAATATTCCTCACACACAAGAAAGATTTAATAAAGTCTGCTAGATATACTTACCAAGGCAAGAAAGTAAATTGGTGCATTTTAGATAAATTTTTTCAACAACTAGGATGAAACTAAAGAAGTCTACTTGAATCACAATTAACCAATTAATCAGTTTTTCAGCTCATTATTCCAGCTAAGAAATGTTTCCTGTGCTTTAGCATAATTCAAAATGCTCATTAACTTTCCCCAAAATGATTCCCACACAGACCTTGCCACATATAAAGCAGCCTGCCACTTCATAAAGCACTTAATTTATCTGTCCTGTTTAGAAAAATTCTAGATTGGAAATGAATAGAAGTAACGGACCAAAAATGGCAAGTGACTCAAAACACCCAGGCACCACAACAGTTGTGCAAACTACTTATTCTCCTCCCCTCGACCATTTTCCCAAATAAGAGGAGCAGTATCATTGAAGCCAAAGAGCAAGTTCCTCTTTATGAAACAGTCTTCAAAGGGTCAGTAAAGATTCAGTTGGGGAGACAAAGGGGAAATCGACTTCCTCGGTGTAGAAATCTGCTCTGTGATACTAAGATCTTCATTTTTGTATATTAGTATTTAACACAGTTTTCATACAGACCTACACAATATCCTAGTGAAGGCGGCATATTTCTCTGGGTTAAAATCTTTGGCGGTCAGAACAATAGAAAAATGAGTCACCTGTCCAAAAGAAACAAAAAAAGTACACTTTTTAAAGACACTTTAATAGAATTAATTGTTATCACTACATTTTAACAAACCTCTTGTACAAGATATACCAGCATAAAAAGGAAAAGACCAAAATGTAACCAAGTCCTCACTGCTTCTTTATACTCTTATATGTATATCCACACATATAAAAAGTTACACAGAATATATATTGCATTTCCTACATGAGAATGTAATACTTTGCCAGTGTTTTTTGAAAACAAAAATATTTCAAATATCAAAAATGTGAATTTTTATTTTAAACCCCCTAACATCATCAAAACAGAACTAGGAATACTACAACAGACCTACCAATTTAGCAACTATTTTTCATTAATGAAATAGAAGGATGGGAAACAACAAAAATATATCTCAGTAAAATGCTTACAGTAAAAATTATACCGTTCCAGAAATAGTTAATTCCCAAAAGTTGCTATATAATCTAAAGGGCACTATTATAATATGCTTCATTTATTTATATGCCTCTATTATTATAAATATAAATTTCTGATAATCATTATGCCTATTATTCTCATTAGTGAGACAAAATTTAGAACTTTACAAAAGCAAAGCATTTAAGAAATACATTTTAAAAATCATATTTTGAAGGGTAAAATTTCAAAATCTTGCTATATTTCAAATCTGAAAAATAAATTTGAAATCGCTGTTGTTAAAATTTGACAGTCTGCAGGGTAAAACTTAGTAAGTCTACCTGAGAATACATCAAGACTTTACAGCAAGAACTTAATAAACATAAACCAAAGATTTTATAACATGTGGAAAACTATTTTTTTGCAAATTTACATTTTCTAATTATGAATTTCTATTATGTCTTAAACCTCTACCAGTTTCGAAGTTGTTGCCTTCCTGTTATTTTAAATGTAATTCCTTAAATTTAAACTGGTATCTTGGACATGCTTCATACATCTGGTTATTGGCTGTAAAATTATCCCTGAAAAGATAAAGTCTCCACTCAGGAACACGCCAGGAGCTCAGCCACTTCTCCCCAATATTATTTTCTTTGAAAAAACCTGCTGGTTGTTTGGACGCTCACAGGGACCACATAGTGGTTTTCAACATGTCACACTGATCCTGTCCATGTCAAATGACACAACAAAAAACCTACTGAATACTTGAGTTTCCTTAATTATCCTTTCTATTGTTAATATAGCCTTAACCAGCCACAAACAAATAAAAAAACATTTTCTTAACTATGGCAAGGATAATTATATCCTCTAAAATAGTTTTTAATGATGGAAAAAACACTTCTAATCAGGCATTACTTTGAAAGTACTTCTACATCAGTGGTTCTCAACCTTCTGGCCCTTTAAATAAAGTTCCTCATGTTGTGACCCAACCATAAAATTATTTTCGTTGCTACTTCATAACTGTAATGTTGCTACTGTTATGAACCGTAATGTAAATATCTGATATGCAGGATGGTCTTAGGCGACCCCTGTGAAAGGGTCGTTTGACCGCCAAAGGGGTCGCGACCCACAGGTTGAGAACCGCTGTTCTACATATTTCTATTCCATCAGAGTATAACCCAAACAAGGCTTCACCACATCAACCACAGAGTCAGTCACATAATACACACCAACAAATATTTATAGGATGAATGAGAGTGAAACATGAAAGAACATTCCCAAAGAAAATCATATGTTTGGCTCAGTAGATAGAGCGTCAGCCTGCAGACTGAAGGGTCCCAGGTTTGATTCCAGCCAATGGCACATGCCCAGGATGGGGGCTAGATCCCCTAGAGGGGGTGTGCAGGAGGCAGCCAATCAACGATTCCCTCTCATCACTGATGTTTCTCTCTCTCTCTCTCCCTCTCCCTTCTTCTCTGAAATCAATAAAAATACATTACAAAAAAAAAGAAAATCATATTTAATGTTTTGCAAAAGCATACTATGAATGATAAAACCTAAAGCTAAAAAGAGTTACTGGAATAATCTTACATCACTTTAAATATTTTTGTTTTGTTTTTTTACCTTTATGCAGTCATACCTTTTTCAAAACTGAAGAATCTGGAACTTCAACTGTTGTGATATAAAACCATGTTCTTCTGTACTGACCGAAGACGAAGGGATGGAGGAGTCTGTTTTCATCTGTAAGGCAGCATTTTCTCAGCAGCAGATTCCTTAAAGTAGCTGTCGTGGAAGGATAACACCACACCCACAGAACTTCTCCATTTGTGTCCTTTTCTACGGTGGAAAGATGGTCACTGTGAGAATGTCAAACAGCAGCAAGGAAGTGAATTGATTGGTTACTCAGAAGCACTTAGTGGAATCACTTTTAACATCCTATTTTACAAAGCACCCCGGAACTGGTGAGACCCCTAATTCCCACCTACTTCTACTGCTCTAATTACCTAGCTCTCCTGACCTTGAATTTTAGGGTACTCGAGTAAATCATCTTACATACTGATTGTGCAAGTTCTATATTTAAAACTTTAATTTCATCAGCAAAGTAAACACCTCAATAACAAAAGAGGAGCAATCTACTAATAATAAAAACGCCAAGCAAAAATAGTCTAAATTTTAGAGAAAGTTACTGCACATATAGCACTAAGAATCTAGATTTTGATCTACAGACTTAAAAAATACTTATTATCGCCCTGGCCGGTTTGGGTCAGTGGGTAGAGCGTGGGCCTGCGGACTGAGGGTCCCAGGTTCGATTCCGGCCAAGGGCACATGCCCGATTGCGGGCTTGATCCCCAGTGGGGGGCGTGCAGGAGGCAGCCGATCAATGATTCTCTCATCATGTTTCTCTCTCTCTCTCTCTTCCTCTCTGAAATCAATAAAGATATATTTTTAAAAAAACTCATTATGGAAAATATCAAGTATATAAAAAAGCGGAGAGAATAATAAAATTCCCCCAACTCCATCACTCATCACTCGGCTTCAACAATTACCAACATCTGGCCCTCCTTGTCTCACAAGGGGGAGGAGCGTTTCCCCTTCCATTATTTTGAAGCAAGTCCCTTTATTCTTCAAGTCAACACGAAAAATAAAAAGCCTGCTGAATTGAAAATGATTAAGCCATCTTTTCCTTCACTGTTAGCAAATAAAGTCAGAGTTTAACTCAGCCTTAATTCAGAAGGACTTCGGGCAGGACTAAGATGACGAAGTTACTTAGGTTTTGCTTTGAAACAGTTTTAAAACCACATTTAAGAAATGTTCAGATGGGTATGCGATGCATCGGGATGATCGCTTAGTCAGTTACATAATGTCTAATCACTGGGGTGTACACTTAAACTAATATAATATTGTACGTCAACTGCAATTAATTAAAAAATAAAAAATGATTTAATTTTTAAGAAAGGCATGAATACAGGAAGCCATTTCCAGATAAATGCACCTCTTTGAGGCACTGAAAAGTAATCAGCACATTTCGCCCGTTTTTCTCAACCCAAGCAACGTTCTTGTATACACCAGGGAAACAGCATCTAGAGCAGTGGTTCTACCTTCCTAATGCCGCGACCCTTTAATACAGTTCCTCATATTGTGGTGACCCCCCGACCATAAAATTATTTTCGTTGCTACTTCATAACTGTCATTTTGCTACTGTTATGAATCGTCATGTAAAAATCTGATATGCAGGATGTATTTTCATTGTTACAAATTGGACATAATTAAAGCATAGTGATTCATCACAAAAACAATATGTAATTATATATGTGTTTTCCGATGGTCTTAGGCAACCCCTGTGAAAGGGTCGTTCGACCCCGCCAAAGGGGTCGCGACCCACAGGTTGAGAACCACTCAAAGAGGTTTGTAAAAATCTGAATAGAATACTTGTTCAAAGGACATGGCACGTAGGGAACCGACCTACGTTCAATTCCAGCAACCCCGTGCTCGCCATCGCCTATCAAATGAATGGTTCCTTGAAAGGCCCAACCCTGGCACACGGCACGCCCCCGCCACCCCCCTCCCGGCACACATCCCGGGCTGCTCGAAGATCCCAACGTACTTCCTCATCCATTAATTCCCCAACACCAACGGGTCCCACCCAAGTGATTAAGTCGACACTCGTGCTGCGTGCACCAGCTGTGTCTCAGACGATGCCGGGGTCCCCCACGGGCTCAAGTTGGGGCTCTGGGACAAGACTGCAAGTGTCCTAACCCTGGTTCCGCCACTTTCTAACGTGCATCGGTGGACACTTGGCCTCGAGCTACTGCCCCGGAAAGTGTGCATCAAACGTTACCCACAGCCCCCGGGAGCCGAAGTGAGTGAAACGGAGATAATCCAGGCATACAACGCTGCACCCGGAGCTGGTAGTCGGCCACCGCGGCTCCAATCGCTGGATCACATGATCCAGGCCAGCCGGGCGCCGGGCGGGCAGTCACGCC